GACGTCAAAAGACCCACAGAACGGACGTCTATAGTCCGTTCTGCACTAGTGATTTTTCTTGTTCTCAGACCTCTAAGACCAATAATCAACTGTTTGGGTAGACTTAAAAGATAGCACAAATGTTATAAGAATGGATAGATCTAGATGGAAATAATTGATCTGCATTTAGTATAGTTGTTTATTACTGTATTGGTTGAACTTTTTCCTTCTTTCTTTTTCTTTCATTTTATCCTTGTTATCTTTTACCTTTGTCATTTTATTTATTTATTTATCAATTAGTATTTTCTAAGTCAAAATATTTAAATTTCAAACATATTATTTTAAAAAAATGATTATATATCATCTATAATAATTATAATAAAAATCAATATTAAAATCATTATTTTTATAATAAAAATTTATTATCATTATTCATTGTTTTTTTACAATAATATTAGTTATTATTACTGTAGATAATTATAATAATATATTAATTATAATAATTTCAACTAATATTGATAATCCTTAATACAGATTTACGTGCATTCTTTCAAAAGCCATGACTCGGTTTAATGTAATATAGAAGATAAACAATTTGTTCAAATAAAACATTACCCAAAAAGCACATGTAAGTGTTTCTCCAATATATTAGAGTATACTATTAGGACATAAAATTTAAGATTTGTTATCTTTAACCCAAAAACAAATATTTTAAAAATATTTATAATTAAAATATTAATAAAAGTATATTCAAATATAAGTTATACAATTTTTGTATTAGAACAAAAGTTACGTAAGATTTCATAATGAGACATAACAGGATTCTCATATACTAAAATAAGACAGATCTTATAATGAAGATATCCGAAATTACTTAAATTCAAATTATACTTAAAAGTATAAATTCAGTTTTTTAAATATTTAAATGGTTAAAGATGGGTGCAATTGATTTTGAGAACGTTTGTGTATTTAGAATGATATTCCAATTTGATTGGATTTTGTTTGATTTAGGTTTAGATGTATAGTAAATTTTTAATAATTATCATGATTACTACTAACATCATATTTTCAATCAATGTAAAATTATTAAAAATGAAGTTTTGTTTTACGTTTCTTGAGTAACATTTTTAGAATTGGACTCAAGGGACTATTTTTATTAATGTTTTGATCTCAAGCTTATCATATGAGGTATTGTCTTCAAATGTCGAATGATATTGTTATGGTTAGTCACTCATTATCTGAGGTATTGTTCGTTTTGTAAGTTTTTTTATAATTTTATCTTTAAAAGAAGATACTTCAGAAGGTGAAATAAGTATTTAAACTACCTTTGACGTTAATTCCCAAGCCACATGGTACTATTGAATGTGAAAGGAATATAAACCCTCAATCGAGATCTATGAGGAATGACGGATCGTCTCTAATGGAGGGCTTAAGGGATCGATGGTTCGCTTTAGAACCTCGTTATCAGTCCTACAATGAGTGTCAATGTTTCGATCCTAAGTCTGTTGAGTGATATTGTTAAAATTAGTCATAATGCATTTTAGGTATTATTCGTTTTTTAGCATACAATTCTATTATTATTTTAAAAATTACCTTAAAAAGTAGAAATAATATTTTAACTATCATAAACTTCGACTTCTAAACAATGTGAGATTATTGAATGAAGTAGAAATAATATTTTAAATATGTTATTATTTTTTGGTAGATTTTATTCTTAGTCTTTTATACTCAATAAAAAGAAAAAATCCTTGAGTTAGCTGGAAAAAAATAATTTATTGAATATATAAAAGGTTTAATGTCTCAATAGGTCCCTATTTTCTTCCAGAATCTCAAATAGGACCCTTTCTTTTTTGGCGTCTCAATTGGTCCTTATTTTTGTAAAATTGAATCCAATAGGGCCTTTTTGTCAAATTGATCAGACGGCGTTAAGGAAGGTGATATATGACGCGCTGACGGTATAGTTTTAACTGACGTGGCCTTAAAAAGGTGTGTGAAGTGTATTTTTTTAATTTTTGAATTAAAAAATAGAGTACACATTGGGAAAATAAAATTTAAGTAAGGGTAAACTTGAGAAATCAAATTAAATTAATAGATGAGTTTTAGGGTTCTGGGAAACTTCATTCCCTTTCTATTTTCTTTTCTTGAACCAAAAACTCCAGCAATGGGAGTATGGCGGTGCACACAGGAAAATTCTTCATCTTCCTCTTCTTGGTTCTTTGTACCATGGTTGCGGCCTTGTAGGGGAGAAGATCTAATTGTGGTTTTCGGCAGTGGCGTGTTTCGCTTTAGAGCTTGTTGCTCCTTTCGACCTTGTTCGAACTCGCGGAGTAGGAAAAGTAGACGTCTTCCTTCCTTCTCTTCTTCTTGGTTCTGCTAGGGGTTTTGTAGGTAGGGGATAAGCTTATCGGTGGCTAGGACGCATACCCTTCCACGTGGCACGATGAGGGTGCGGCAGCGATGGCGTCCCGACGGTGCTTTGAGGGGGTCGCGGAAGCTTTCCTCCTTCGAATCAACCCGCAATGGTGGATGTGGGTTCAGTTATGACCGAGCCTATGTGCGAACAACGTCGCGGTGGTGAGAGAAGAGGACGACAATGCGTCAGGAGTGATCTCCGGAGACAACAGCGAGGGCGAGTGATTGCCTTATCCGACGATGACAACGTCAACGACGAGTTGTGATTGAGAAATTCTTGACTCTACAATTTAGGGTTCCTTTTGTTATCTAATTTTGGAGATCGGGTTTTGCTGAAAGTGGGAAATTAGGGATTTTTTGATGTAATTGAAATTGCAATGTTTGAATTGGGATCTTGATTTCTGTTTTCGTTTCTGAGCTTCAAATTGATTTCTCAGTTGGTGGGTTGCACTTATTTTCTTTCTTTTCCCACTTTGCCCTTTTAAGTAAATATGATTTCCCCTGTCTAAATCTGATTTCCCCTGTTTGCAATATTTTTTTAATACAAAATACCATTCAAACATGTTTATAATGCCACTATTAAACGGCCGTTTTCCCAATTTAATGGTGAGCCTGTAATTGATTCAATTTTACAAAAATAAGGACCCAATTAAAACGCAAAAAAAGAAAAGGTCCTATTTGAAATTCTGGACAAAAATAGGAACTTATTGAGACATTAATCCTATATAAAACTATGTTAGGATTATTGTTGGATTTCCGTGGAGGACGGTCAATGTACTGTCAAGAAAGCTCCTTATATTTTTACTCTAAAAAAGTTCCTTTATATTTTAAAAACATAACAACATAAATAATTTATGTTAAACAACATACCATACGTTGTTTTATATATAAAATAAAAAACACAAGCATTCACAAAAAGAAAGTTTATGTATAATCTAAGTAGATAAAAGTTTAATTTTAGCTTTAAAAGTCATTTATTTATTTTTATTCTACTTTTATAAAAATACCGATCCAAAGTTCGTCCAAAGAAGATAATACCTTCAAACCAAGTTGCATCCATGTTGCATTAAAATATTTTTACGTATNTGAGACATTAATCCTATATAAAACTATGTTAGGATTATTGTTGGATTTCCGTGGAGGACGGTCAATGTACTGTCAAGAAAGCTCCTTATATTTTTACTCTAAAAAAGTTCCTTTATATTTTAAAAACATAACAACATAAATAATTTATGTTAAACAACATACCATACGTTGTTTTATATATAAAATAAAAAACACAAGCATTCACAAAAAGAAAGTTTATGTATAATCTAAGTAGATAAAAGTTTAATTTTAGCTTTAAAAGTCATTTATTTATTTTTATTCTACTTTTATAAAAATACCGATCCAAAGTTCGTCCAAAGAAGATAATACCTTCAAACCAAGTTGCATCCATGTTGCATTAAAATATTTTTACGTATTCTTCCAGCAATTTAAAAAAAAAAAATTCATTTTCTGTATCACAGTAGCAATATTTATAAATTTGTGACTCTTCTCTCTCATTTTTTTCTGGCTGTTATATATTTCCAAACCAAACAAAGAACTAGGGAATGAAAATATTTTGAGTGTGATGAGTAAGTTGGAGAGAGAAACATAAGGCGAACACTGGAAAAGTAGGTTCTTCATATAATGCTGACCTTATTATAATGCGCTACTTTTATTGTATGCCTAATGTAATCCTATTTTCATCATTACAGATGATGGGATATTCATAATATATTCTGCTCCGGGAAATACCTAAAAGCTGAAATTTGGGTGGGTAGATCCACTTCAAAACCATTTTTATAGATAGTAATTTTGTTTTGCAATTCATTATTCATCATCCCAGAACAACTTAACATTCAACATTACCCAGGAATTGAAATATCAACAAGTAAAATAGAAGCCAAGGAATTGAAGTAACTCCATTATGCAAAATACAATGCTCTCTCATTTACATATACATCATCAATCACTGTGCATAAGAAAAAAATATATAATCGTAAGTATAATGAAGGACGTGTGATGGCGACATAGCACGGGTACAGAACATTAATCAAAGGTCGGATGATGTGGGACTCAGACAACATCAGATTTTCGACCGTCGAAAATGCCATCTTGTGCTGACTTGTTGAAAAACTCGATGCAATCAGCAATGGCCTCGTTGTAATGCGAGTAAGAGGAATAGTAAGAACTGCATGAAGTCTTGGGCGGTTCGAACCGGTCGGAAACTTTGTGCTTTGAATCCTTGGAGCGGCGAGAAGGTACCGAGAAAACAAAGCGCATGAAGATCTTGCGGAAGCGTTGAAAGAGCTTCATGGCAGAGAGGTTGTTGAACTTGGGAGGAGGTTGAGGTGTTTGTTCAGGCGATGCTTCTTCGGTAGCTCCTCTTATTTGAATAACAACAAAATTCTCTGTTCCTCTAAGTGCGTTGTTCTTCAGCATTTTTCTCTCTTTTCACAGAATGACAGAGCCTTCTTGAAATATATAGTTTATAGTTGAGGTTTTGTTGAGCATTTAAAGCTTGAGATTATATTCGATAGTGTGAGGCAAAAAAGTATTCCCATGTGGCCAAATCATTTGCATGGCCTTCCTGTCCTCTGAATTTGGTTTCTTTGTTTGGTTTGGTTGATTTTGTTGAATTAACATCTGAAGGGAAGATTAAAATTTGATGATTTGTTGTTTAGCGGTTAAGTTTATTAAAAGGGGAAGAATGATGATCGGTCCACTCTGCCTCAAATATAAAACCTTGACGGATCTGCAACAACAATCATTTGTAACATTTGTGGAACCCATCCAACATGTCCAACGTTAAAGCTGTGAGTTAAACTTAAATAGAATAAATTTAAATGGGTTATTTTATGATCTTTAATTTGATCGGAGAGTTTAAAACTTTGAAATGAAAAGATAAATTAGAATCTATAAATTAGAGTGAGAGATGGGTAGTCTTACAAAGAGTGTATTCGCACCCGAATTAAAAGAAGTACTCAATTATTATCATTGGAGTCTCAGAATAAAAGCTCTTTTTGCCTTTTATAAAAATTTGAAGGCAATGAAAAATGGTCATGTAAAATAAATAAAAACATCATAAATTAATAAATTAATTGAATGCTTAGATGATTGTGTTGAAAATTACATACAAAGAACAAGGTAGCTTGATAAATTATGTATGAAGTTGTGGACAAGTTTGACTTTAAGGAGATTGCAAGTGAAAAAACTTTAAAAGAAGTGTGAAACTTTTTAGAAAAGACATATAAAGGAGATGATCGAGTGAAGCAAATGAGGTTTCAAACACTCAAAGGAGAGTTAAAGAGTAGAAGAATGAAGGAGATAGAGGAAGTAGTTAAGTAGATTACTCGAGTTAAAACCATGGTCAACCAACTCGACAAAAACAAAGAGGCACATCCCGGTAGTCAAGTGGTGGGGAAGATTATGAGGTTGTTGAACGAAGAAACTTTGAAAATGTGGTGTGTGGGACTCAGGAGTCCAAAAACCTATCAACGTTCATAGTTAAAGAGTTTGTCGGGTCTCTTGAGACGCACAAACAACGAAAGAAGAATTGGACATCACTTGAAAAGGAACTAGCACTAGTACAGAATTGGCTTTTAAGGTCACCCCGTAGACCGTAGACGTCGGACCACAAAATAACCAACGTAAATTATTGACCGGTGGCATTTTCGTAAATAAGTTGGGCATATAGGCGTCGGGGCCCCTATCCGACGTCGATATGCCTGATAGGTAGGTGAAAAGTCATTTTTTTCCGCCATATAGACGTCTGATCCCACCAGTCCGACGTCTATATACGATTATAGACGTCGGTCCCCCTGTAACAGATGTTTATATGACTGACAAGGTAGGTGAAAAGTTAATCTATACATCGGGCACCCTCCTAACCGACGTCTATATGCGTCAAAATGTGAAAAGTCATTTTTTTTTCGCCGTTTAGACGACGGATCCCGCCACATCCGACGTCTATATGCACCGCAAATATTAATTTTTAAATCGAATGGACGTCATATTAGTGAGGTCCCCGACGTCTAGTCGAGAATAGACGTCTATATATTTTTAATTTAATATTTTTATAAATTAAAAAGAAATAATTATTTTAACAAACAAGCTATTAAAAATATAGTCTTTAGTTAAATAAACATAGAGTGATATATATAATATTATTGTCTAATAACAATTAATAAGAATAATCCATCCCAAAAAATAATTAATTAAAGTGAAACTAAATTAATTTCTTAAACAAGGTTTCGACCAGTCACCGAATAACATAATTATAACAAAAATAAACAATCAATCAAAGCATCTAAAAACAAAATCAACCTGAGAAGCCAACTCATTGCAACTTATGTCTTGACCATCATATTGTTGGGGTTCAAAGATTAAATCTCACAGTGCAACTTAAATCCCTTTTCAAGTTAAATGTATACTGTTTCGTGATTTGAAGCACCTGGCGTAAAAAAATTGATCTATTTATTTTCTAAAATTAAATGTTAAAAAAATTGCAACAAAATATGCTTGAAACTTAGTTCCTCAATATTTGTAAATTAAATTATTAATTTTAGAAACTTATATGCTGAGTTTTGTGAATAAATTTATAGAATATTTATAAACACACAATCTTATTTGGAAACTTTGTTTATATTTTGGAAAGCATATTGTACGTCAAAATAAAGTTGATTAATGAAATTTTATTGTATATAAACTTTTAAACTAACTCATAATAAATAAAATTAGTTAGTAAATTAAATATGACTTACTCGTAACAAAAAATGACTATTATATATATATATATATATATATATATATATATAAAATAAAAATCTTACATTTTCATTTATTAAAAAACATACTTTATTACATTTATCAAAATTTTCACCAACTTTACTCATATATTCACTCACTTCAACCTTCAACCTTCAAATTCTTCAAAACAAATACAAATTTTTTATCTTCAAATACATTTATTCATTATCTTTCGAATCCATCTTAAGAAAAATACACCATAAAATCACTTCTAATGAAAGAAGTTTAAGTAAATATTTATTATCTTTACTTTAAACAAAAAATAAATTCAACTAAAAAAAATTAAATCTAGTTCAAATATTCATTTCATTTATCACATGAGTTTCATTAGGCATAAAATCAAAGAAAACATTCTTTCAATTTTATACTTATAAAAAAATTCCAATTCTTAACAAAGACAAAACGAAGGAAAAATTCAATAATAATAATGCATTTTAAATAAATTAAAAAATTTTAAATCAAAATTTTATGGATAAAAATCTTGTTGGTAGAATTACGAAAATAAAGTTAATTTTGAAACGAACAAATTTAAAAATTATAATTAATAAATGAAATAAACAAAAACAAATTCAAACTAAAAGCTCAAAAATAAGAAAATAGAATAAATTGAAAAAAAAAATTTAGTAAATTCGTCTCTATTTGAGTATTATGTGATATCATTTTTATTGTTGAGAAATTCTCACTTTTGTTAGTACGAGTATGTGTATAATAATATTTAATTTTTTTATTAGATATGTGAAGTGATGATATGTACCTATTAATTGTCTCCATACTTATGCTAGTTTCATATTTGTTATAATACTCATAATTATCCTCCTTTTTGTTTTCATTTAGATTATTAAAATACTTATAATTTATTAAGTGATATATATATATATATATATATATATATATTATTTTCTTAATTTTAATTATATATTTTTTATTACACGTTTTTCTTCCTTTCGTTTAACTTTTTTCATTATGACAATTTTTTTTAATGGTTATGTTCAAATAGTATATTATTAGTTATCTCAAATCAAATAGTTTTTATATTTTACATTTAAATATTATTTATTTTTAATATTTTTATTTATTGTTTTTTTTTACACAAAAATATATCTAACTCCTAGGTAATAAAAACCTTATACTTGTTATTTCTTCTAATCTTTAATTTATGTTTCGGTTGAAAACTTTTGTTAAACAATTTTCATTTCTTCTCAACAATTAAGCTAATTTGATATAAGAATTTTTTTTTATACCATTAATTATATATTTGCTTTCCTTTTTATGATGTATCAAATGATTCATCGAAATATTTCCAATAATCACATTTGATCATTTTGATTTTTTTAATATTTTTATATAATTATTTGTAATTTTTAACTCAAGTATAATTTTATCATCACATTTGTACAAAGATATTTCATTTACTATAACATAATAATTTATATCATTATCATGAATATTATTTACCATCATCTAACTTAATAAATTAAATTTTAAAAGTAAATTTATGTTAAATTTTAATTATTACTAATTTAATATTATTCTTTGTGCAATATCATTCAAGTGAATTATAGAAAGGATCATATTTCATATTATTCATCTAGGGTGTTGCTACCTCTACCACCACACCTTTCTCTCTCCACCTCCCCAATTTATTTTAATTCCAATTATATCATCAGATTAAAATTTTTTACTTTTATTATTTTTATTTATTTCAAACCTAGTTCTCCTACTTTACTCCTGCACCCAATCTTTCCATCTCTTATTTTCGTTTAATAATTTGTCTTTCGTTTTACTCTGCAACCCAATCTGTCTTCTCCGTTTCACTTCTCCTCCTCCGTTTTTTTCTTCTTCATTTTCCTTACATTATTAAAATACATTAAAAATATATTCAAAAATAATAAATCAAAAGGGTTGGGAAAGTTGGAAAGGCACCCTTCTCTGAGGAAGAAGAAGAAGTCATTGATTCCTTTGATTGGAGCTATTTTTTCAAGGAAAAAGGGGACCCAAGAACTTCCATGACACACTTCCAAACAAAATACCATGTTTTCGGTTTAGCACTATGTTAATTTACCAGAATAATTCCCCACTGCATTTTCTTTAGAGTTTTTTTTATTTTTTATTTTTGGTTCTGGAAAAGTTTATTTTCATGCGCACTTTAACAGACTTCAATGGCAGATAGACGGTACAATCTTGTTAAACTCGCGAGATGCTAACAGGGTTGCATGTTGAATGTGGTAAATGTAATAAAGGACACCGATTACAATTTCAATCTCCTTTTCATCTTTTAAAAAAGATAAAGACAAATAAATTGCATTAATGAGAAATTTAAGTGATGTATGAATTAGGACCTGTACTTTGACACCAGAATTTTTATTATACTCCCATTCACACTCACAAATATTATTATTTTAATTCAAAATTTCATTTATATTTATTTTTTGTATATTACATATAATATTTTATTAATAAAACACATAGTTAAATTGTAGTAAGGGAAACATTGGTTTTCAAACTACAATTTTCTCATAAATAAAATACGTTTTATTTATGAGTTTTGCAGTTCACCAATCAATAGAAGGACAATGAATGTGCTAATTTAAGATAGTTATTGTAGATATATATGAACCCATCAAAGTCTAATATATAATTAGTTTATTGGAGAAAACTTTTTAAATGAGTAATTAAGAATTCTATT